GCCATATCCTACTTGCGATCGTCTAGGTTCACCTCTTTGTTGCAATATGAAATCAGTTGCTCACCATCTGCTATGTCCAATGTAGTACTAAAACCTTGACTGCTATCTTCGATTCCAACGTTTAAGTACCAGTGGCTTCCTGCTTTGGCGCTGCTTATCGGAGACCCGCCTGCAAGACTCGAGCTCTGTACTCACTCTGCGATCCCCTTCAGGTGACACTAGCAGCACTTTCTCATTGCGCCTATCCGGTGACGATGCAGCTTCGAGCACCGGACAAGCCGGTGTTGGTATTGCCCTGAGTCCCCGGACTGAAGCTGCTCTGGTTGATTGGATTCCAATCGGTAGCCGGATGTGTGCGGTCCGATTGGCTGGCTCGTTCAAAACTTCGAAGTCGCGCGGGACTAACAGGTGTCTATTCGTTATCGCTGCCTATGCACCGACAAACTGTAGCGATGACTCGGTAAAAGACGACTTCTATCGCCAACTGAACGAACTCCTTCGCCACAGAAGAAGCTCGGACACTATAGTGCTGGCTGGGGATCTGAACGCTCAAGTTGGAAAATTATCCGCAGATGAGCTGCATCTGGGTGGCCAACATGGTATAGGCTCCCGTAATGATAACGGTGAGCGGTTACTTCATTTGTGTGAGGATGCTCGCTTATTTCTTGCGAGCACTAATTTCCGACACAGCACCTGCCGGAGGGTGACTTGGCGCCCACCAGCCTCGAACCAGCTATGGACGCAAATCGATCACATTGCTATCAGTTACCGCTGGAGTGGCTGCGTCCAGAACTGTCGCTCGATTTGGAGCACAGGTGTTGACACCGATCATGCATTTGTATGTGCTGACCTGCGGATGCGCTTTGGCGGACGCCCGCGACGATGTTGTGAGCGCATAGACACCGGCAGACTGGTGAATCCAGCTGTTCTGAACGCCTATCAAATTACGCTGTCATCCGAGTTGGATAAACGCTCACTGGATGCAATTGAAGCTCACTGGTCTCATATTCAACATGCCTTACTAGCAGCAGGCAAATCCTCATGTGGTATGTCTAATCGCCAACATGAACATTGGGTCTCTTCACAGTCTTTGGAACTTATAGATGCTCGCCGGCATATTCCGACTGGAAGCGAACACAATGAAACTCGCAAAGAGCTCCGGGCAAAACTCCGTGCTAGCCTGAAGAGAGACCGCGAATCCTGGTGGTCTCGTCGTGCAACAGAGATGGAAATGGCCGCTGCCCTTGGTAACCATCGTGAGTTATTCCGTCTGATACGGGAAACGGGCAGCAGGAGACCTGGTGTTAGTGAAACTATACGTGACGAGAGTGCACAGTCTATCCACAATTTATCAAAACGCCTGGAACGTTGGGCTGAGCATTTTGAAAGGCAATTTAATCGGTCGGAATTGTTAGATTTCTCACCGACCAGTGATCGCCTTGCTCCGTGGGCTGTTCCTTTGGATCCACCCTCTCGCTCAGAAGTCGAACATGAGATTGCACGGTTGAAGTTAAATAAAGCCGCGGGACCTGATGATCTTCCTCCAGCCCTCTTTAAATTCTGGGGACCTGCTCTTGTGGATGATTTACACGAGTTACTAGTGAGACTGTGGTAGCAGGAAACTGTCCCAACCGATTGCAGCCGCTCCATCATGGTCCCAATTTTCAAAGGAGGCTCACGATCGGAATGCGGCAGCCATAGAGGAATCAGTCTGATCTCCATCGCCTCCAAATTGCTTGCCTCTGTCATCCTTCACAGACTGGCTGGCACTCGTGAAAGACAGATTCGTGAAGAGCAAGCTGGATTTCGTCGAGGTCGTAGCTGCATTGACCACATCTTCACCTTGCGTCAGTTGTTGGAGCACCGTCACATATATTGGCGGCCCACCGTTGTCGTGTTCCTCGATATCAAAGGTGCATTCGATTCGGTGGATAGACATGCACTTTGGGACTGTCTACTCAGGAAAGGTGTGCCCGAGAAATATGTGAATATTATCCGAGCATTATGTGCTCGTAGCTCGGGCAGAGTGAGGGCTTACGGCAAGTTGTCGTCGCCCTTTAATATCTCCAGCGGCGTGAGACAAGGATGCCCGCTGTCACCTTTCCTCTTCAACTTCGCTGTTGACGAAGTCATGGAAATCGCGTTCACAGGACACGACTTTGAAGGTTTGGAGCTACTCCCAGGAGAACGACTTCTTGATTTAGAGTATGCTGATGATATTGCCCTCATCTGTGACAGCTCACAAACGTGCCAAGCGGCACTGGACAGATTAGCACTAGCTGTCCGTCACTTCGGGCTTTGCTTCGCACCCTCGAAGTGCAAAGCGTTTCTCCAAGATTGGTCTGGACCGCCTCCTACGCTGACCTTTGGTGGGGAACAGCTAGAAGTCGTTCAAAAATTCAACTACCTGGGAAGTTGTATCAGCGCCGGTGGGATTGCGGATGAGATCACGAATCGTATAGCAAAAGCTCGGGGCGCTTTTGCTAACCTTCGCCACTTATGGCGCCGACACGACATCACTCTTGCCCTGAAGGCTAGAGTGTACAATGCAGCAGTACGTTCGACCCTACTGTACGGTTGTGAAACCTGGCCCCTTAAAGCAGCGGACCTGAAGAGGCTAGTTACATTCGACCACCGGTGCCTTCGTAGTTTAGCTCGCATCTGGTGTGAACACCGCGTGAGTAACGAGCGTGTTCGACGCCTTGTTTATGGCACAGGAAAAGAAAATGAACCGCTCAGCACCGTTATTTCACGCATCAGGCTCCGATGGCTCGGCCACGTGTTACGCATGCCAGCCCATCGACTTCCAGCGACGTGTGTTGTTTGTGCGCCGGGGGTGTGGATGGAAGAAGAGGAGGGGTCGCCAAGCGATGACTTGGTCCAGAGGAAAGAAGACCCTCACTTCTGAGCTGGCCTCGATTGGAGCGTCTCGGCTCCCTGGTTGGGGTCCGAAAGACGATGAACACGTTTGGTTGGACACACTTGCTTATTTGGTTAGGAGCCGACCTCAGTGACGTTCGTGCTGTGAGTTTCTTTGTCCCACCCCATCCCTCTTAGCCGCCCCCTCCAACCACGATCTCATTACTTAGCCTTATATAATTTTGCATAATAATTTTTTTGGGTACACAGCAGCCGGCTGGTAGCTTACCGGAACGATGCCCATCCGTTACCGGTAGCTCAGCCAGCTTTCACCAGTTGTTTTTTTCTCTCCTTTTTTTCTTTGTATTGCGGCACAGTAGCTGAGGTGTTTCCCACCTCTAGCTAACGTGTATGGTGATGATGATGCTTTGGCACAATTACATTATCTCCATTCCGTTTGTTTCATTTTGGGGCTTTTTGTTACCTCATCAGCCGGTGACCGAAAGGATTTCGCGCCTGACTTGCTGTATCCATGGCACCGGTTCGAATCCGTGTAAGGCGGGTGTTCTCGCGGCATACTCAGCACACGCGCAACCGGCGGTGGTCGTGTGGCAGGGCAGTGTCGGTACAGTGTTCGGCGTACTGCGGATGACCTTTATTCTTTTATTGTCAAATCAAGACTGAGCTAGGGGTTCTTGCTGCTTGGCTGCATGCGCACTTTCTTTTCTATCGTTGAAAAGAAGTTACCAATTAAACCCCAGATCTGTCGACTGAAAGCTCTGAGGCAACTCTTTATGTTCTCATCGTTGACAGTTCTTCTCTGCCCATCTGGTATGTGATCGCTGTGGCTGTCCTGTTTATGATGTCCTTCGGTTGATGCAATAACTTACCGCTGTTGGTCATTAGTCTGATCGGTTTTCGCCGAGTTGGCCTAGCTCTACGTCCATACTGACCAAATGACGTTACATTTTGTAAAAGCCAGTGAGAGGTGAACTTCGGTTAATACATGCATTTCCTATCGTCTTGATGTATAATGATAATGTATAAAATCCGCGTAGGGGTGGGCGTCCTCGCGGTATACTCAGCCCGCGCGCGACTGGTGGGGGTCGCACGGCAGCGAAGCGCCGTTACGGCGTACAGTGGCACATTATTATTATTATTATTATTATTATTATTATTATTATGCTTGTTATCAGTGCTTAGTTACTGTGGCTGATGTGCTATCTGTCGTACATCTTCATCGCAGATTTTGGGTATTTCAATCTAATAAAGCAACAGCAGTCGCACGTGGGATACCGCGAGGGTCGCCCGGTCCCTACGTAGGCTCGAATCCGCGCCATCCGATTGCAAGGCAGACTTGTGATCCTTAAGGCTACAGGCCCGCTTGCATTTCAGTCTGATTACCTTTCTTCCCACCTGGTGACAGATTTGGCGAATGGTAGGATGCTATATACTCCTTCACTAAAATTTAATCGGATCACTAAGTTAAACTATCTCTTGCTGTCGAGAAATATACCACTTATGTTTACTTTAAAGACTTAAAGGTTATCGGTGTTTGCCGATCTCACCTCTTACCTGACTTCAAAACAATATCACTTAGTAAATGAATTTACGGCTCAACCACCATCCTGTTCATGTCTAGTTTGTTGATGAACCGTTGTCGTATCCCCGTGGTGCAAGTTTGTGACCGCGAATTTACGTATCCACGTCTACGAGGTAGTCGTTGATCCGCACGTCTTCTGCTCTCGTTCCGCCTCGTTTTCCCTCTGTGGTTCACGCTTCTGGCGCAGCGCAACCTTGTAAAGGCTAATTGCAGCCTTAGTGCATATATATACAACTACCGATTGTTATCACTATGCATAGCCGTAAAAATGGATTTGGTTATCGATTGGATGGGTCATTTTGAAGCACTCTGATCATTCTTACTCTCAGCTACTTTGCTAACCAATTTCAGCAATCTTCACTACCACTCCTCTCCACCTCGTAAATAGCAAGGCATGCTTTGATTGAGTTAACCTTGTAGTTTCCCGCTTCATTTCAGCAATGTCATTTAGCCACTTATTATTTTTCATCCCTGTTTTTTCGCTCTTTAAACGATTTCTTTCAAGCACTCTTCCCTTCTTTTTTCAATTCACTCCTAGATGAACTGTCTCGTCAACGTACTAGACATCTTGGACCGTCAGGATTACCACACAGTGCGTGAACATAATCCAGTGGAATCCTTGTTCGACCGGATTTTCAACGATGATTCAATCAACATTGATACTGGGGCTATTGTCCTTACGCTGTGCGAATGGGCCGTTTCGACACACCGCGTGGGTTTATATCGTTCAATCGTTGTGGCCTGCTTATTGGAACAGCTGAGTAATTCCTTCCAGTCCAATCCTGTGCCGATAAAGCTATTTCAGGATACGCTAGTCACCTTTCTGGATAGCTTCGCTCCAAATCTACCTCAGTTTACAAGCGATCAAGCCCCTATAGACAACGAAGCCATGCGAAATCTTGTATGTCTTTTCTCCGAGTTGATTGATCGCGAGGTTTTCGATCACGATTGCTACGTCCGGTGCATGATCGCCCGAGGGATATTCAATGCGAGCCTCCACCCCTTATCCATAGAGAACCCTACATCAAATAGCCACGTGGAAGCACCTGTTACCTCGTTGGGACGCCTTACGCCTACACTTTGTACACGTCCGACTACTGTGTCCAACTCCGCTTCATTCACCAACGCGCCTAGCAATTCGACCTTTCAGTTCTCTGTTGCATCGGAATTGTCAGAAGACAATGATCGTTGTAGCATGGATAATCCCGACTCAGTACGCTCTGAGCTCGGCTGCACCCAGACGACATCAAATCTGATATCTAACATGCAAATTCCCTCCTCAACCGTGACTTCAACGAGTACCCGTTCCTCTCATTTCCATTATCTGGCTCAGTTTCCTCTGCCTCAGGATGAAGGCTACATGCATGAAGGTAACCAGCGTTATCAACTTCTTTACGGTTCACTGCGTGCACGTGACAGGGCCAGGTGTCGTGTTAGACAATTGGCTCGGGATGTTGGAAAGTTATTCACACGAAAAGTTTACTTGATTGATGTAGTACATGGCGAATTGTACAGGCGGCGCAAAGCAAAGGAACGTGATCGCGAGAAGGATACATCCAGTGCAACAAACATTCAACATCTCGGTGGACACCGGCCCAGCGAAGACTCCCATTCCATAGACAAGCTTCATGAAGAGATTACGTCTAGATTTATCAACCTTTCTTATCACGATATGGAATGCGTTGTGTCCCAGTGCATGCCTGTATATAACAAGATGCTATGTGGCTCTAACGGTGTGAACCCTACCAGTCTATCTGGTGATGACACTTCGCACTCCTGCTCCACCTCCGGCCCTAGCAACTTTCAACCTCAAGGTGGTTCTATGGCGAACCCCCCATCCACTGCTACTTTATCTAGCCTCGCCCCACCCATGACAACACCATTACATATTTACATGCCAGTCCCAAGTTCAATCTTTCTGTTTTTTGAGCTCATTGAAACTTCTCTAAATATCACTTGCCTACTCTCAACTATCGTCGACACACTAGAACGCTTACAGACTTTGTTTGAACCTCGCACTCACTTCATGACCCTGTATATGTCTTTCCTTTGTCTTCGTTCCATTGGTATTCTTCAGCGCTACCAGCCCATCCTTTTCACCATGAATGAACTTTCCAGCCGCTTATTCCCCACTCTCATCGCTCAAGTTCGCCAGGTGAAGGAACCCACTCAATGTGGCCCATTCGAAAGGTGCATCTTGGCCTATTTGAACGACTTGTTCACTTCCAACTTTGTCATTAAGTCTCGGTTCACTCCGATTTATGGCAAAGCCCATCCGAAAGTTTCCGCTTTATTTCGCTCTGTGGAGTCATGTGAAGGTGTGGCCAGTTTCGACAGTGAGTATGCAACAGACCTACTTGGAGCGACGGCGTCTGATAACCTAGTTCTTTTCAGATGTTATTTGGAGGACTTAAGAAATAACCCTAACTCTCGTTTCAGTTTCGTCTGTAAATCAATAGTTACCGTCTGTAGGGCAACAACGAGCGAACGAGTGAATTATCTCTGTGGCCTATGTGCTGAACTGACATCACAGTGCAGTGAACTGACTCCAGAATGGCTTGGTTCCTTCTACGCCGTTCTCGCGCCCAGACCTTATCTTCATGGGTACAGTCATATTGTGCAGGAGCTGGAACCGAGTGATTTAAATATTTACGATGCCCTCAGTTCTCTCATTGCTACGCTTTTGTCTCGACACTGCTTTACCATTTGGGATTTCTTGCGTCGCGTAATCTGTCCCGCAATGGCTCAGGGTCTTGGACAGCCCGTCGGCCCCCAACTACAACCCAGCATTCGTTTGGCCTGTCACATTCTTCATAGACTCTTTACCGCTGAATCTACAGTGAGCTCCCTGCAAGGCTCCTCTAATGTGCTCACCCCTAATCACGAACCCTTGGCTTCTTCAAATGTTAGTACCGACCCATGCACTGTTGCACCACCGTTTAGGATCTCCGAACCTCTTTTGCTCACCGGTGCATTGCAAAAAGTGACTCCGGAACTTCTTGTCGACGTGTTAAAGATGCTGATAGTTCACAGTGACAAGACTTCAGAAGGCCTTATCCATCAGAACACCGCAGGCAATATATCGGCCGAAGAGCTGGACAGCGATGACCTTACTGGCGATGATGAAGAGGAAGATGCAGATCGAGGCGAATTGACTGATGTGGATTCGGATTGCGAAAATCTCCCCTCCGATTGTGTGTCCGAGTCTACCCACCGCAAAATATCCAGCAATTTCGGTCGAGTCGGTTCAAACGCATGCAAACGAAAGCGCCGGCGCGTGGATGGTCGACGAACCCACAACTTGGAGCAGCCTGTCGATCCCGTCGTTCAGCGGTTTTTGGCTACCGGAGTTTTACCCACCGTATGGGAATTACGAAGCCTTCCATTGAATGTGTTGATTCAACTTGTTCTTCGCGAAATTTGCACTGTCCCGTGGGTTCGTGAAAGGTTTTACCGCATACCTCCCGAAAGACTCATTCGAGAGAACGTCCTGATCGATAAGAATTTCTCTCCACACCAGGCCCGTCATTTGCTGCATATCATCTTTTTCCCCTTTGACACTTCATGGACTGACACATCGCAACTCGCAAGCGCAATGTGTCAAATTCTCAGCCATTTAGACCTCTGGACACTTAGGTGTTCGCAGATGAAATTTCAGCTTCTATATGCACAGATTACTTTTCCACAACAATCCGATGTTCTTGGATGCGTTGGTCAATCGATCGTTCGCGGATTTCAGACTCAGGCTGTTACTTGGTTGAGCGGTAACGCTTCCGGTTTTTCGGCTGATGGCTGCACTGGGCTCATAGGTGGATTGCCTCATTACGAAATAGATGAAAACGATCCGGTTTGGCTGCTGCCCTCATTGGTTGCTGAGCTTCCGAAATCTGTCAAGGTACAAATTGTTAAAGCCACTTTGGAGGTAAGTTATTCCTCGTTCTTCGTTCAGTAATTCAACTTGCGCATTAGTATCTCAGAGCGAAGAGATTGTATGCACCATATTTCCAACTAACAACATTCTTTCATTTGTGACAAGGCTGTAGGTCATTTACTGATTATCTTTTTTTAAAATCTTTGATTAATACACAGTGCAAGCCGTTGTTGGTAATTGCGTTCACAGGCGAAAATTTGCATGCCTCGCTTTATTCCCTGCGCTTACGTCAGCACTTGGGGCAGCATACCTGCCTGTATCAATGAATTTCCTCGACACATGCCTAAACGATTCACCCTACCCATGCTACCATTGTCTCCCAGTTCACTTATGGACTTGACTCTGGCTTTCACTGTTCCCTTTTTGTGGTTCTGCGTGGAGTTGTGGACTGCTTCCTGACTACTCCGTGCTCCGTCGCCTGTTCCCTGATTAACTAAGGTTATTGAGGGGAATCAGTTTGTATACTGTCCGAAGTATACTGTCTGCGTCGCACGTCCTAAAATTTGGCACCAGCTAATCTGAAGCGAATGTAAATACTTTGCATTTTTGCATATGTCCTTCGTTTTTTCTCACGGCTTTGCTCTTTGTGCTTGGTCACTACAATCTTCCACCTCAACCACCGTTGTTTGCTTACGTCACACTATCGAGTAGTTTGGTGAGTTGTACTTTCGCTAGTATGTTTTGGGCTATGGGAACAGTTGTTACGTAAAGCGAACCTGTACATGTGAATGAATCCGCTGTGTGTAGTTTGACGGGGTTTTGCCAGTCTGTCGATGCTTTCGAAATCACATCACACCTCATAACCTTTGCTTCTGTGGACATTCCAATCTGAACACATCTAAGGAGGTTACATAAGCTTAGTTCGATTCCCTTAGACATTTTAGACCGTGACTCGAGTCTCCAAGATATTTGTAAATTATCATGGCGGGGAAATGTTGGTTGCAGCACAAACATGATACAGAGATCAGAGAGTTGAGAAATAGACGACGGATCTTAATCAAGATGAAATATTAACACATAGATGCAAGCAATTTTTCCCCCCTCGGTCAGACAAGCCTATCTAGAGTCACTGCATACTGAACTTTCACTGTCTTGTCCTAATGACACTGAGCTTCAGTGGGATAAGGTCTCTTCCGTCATGCATAATGTAGGAGCATCTGTTTGTGGCATCATTAATCGTCCCCGCACCAGTCACTGGATATTCGAGAGGTCCGTGAACCTGTTGGGATCCAGAAGAAATCTCTCGGCTGACTCTGAGCACAATGTGACCAGACGGACTGTTAGGCGCGAACTAATGGGGAGCCTTTGTGCTGACAAGGAAGCCTGGTGAACCAGTCGGGCTGAAGAATTTGAGGAGGCGGGAGCAGTGGGCAATTACCGCGAGCTCTTTTAGCTGATCCGCACCACCGGTTCCAGGAAACCAACGTCAGTGATACAGTCAGAGACACGCGGCTGCACTGGTTCACAGTAAGGAGCGTCGTATGGCTCGTTGGGCGGAACACTTTCAAAAGCAGTTCAGTTGGCTACATGCTCCCGGATCTCTTCAGACTCAAGTGATGCAGGATGAACCACAGACGGTTAGTTTAGGGGCCCCATCAGAGGTTGAGGTCTGAAACACGATCACAGCCCCCAATCGTTTTCGTCCTGCTGGCCCGGATTCCCTCCCACCTGCACTATTTAAGGATGGAGGTGAGATCCTCTGCAAATCACTGGCCTCCCTATTCGAACCTATTCGCAAGGAAGCGAATGTTCAGGCTAACTAGAGTGAATAGATTATTGTCAATATACAAGAAGGGCAACCGACTGTGCCAACCACGGGTCTTAGTCTGACGACAGTTGTGACAAAATTACTAGCCTCGATTCTCGTTCGTCGCCTCACTGCGGAGCGAGACTCATGGATTAGGGAAGAGCAGGCAGGTTTCCACCCAGGGCGTGGTTGTATAGACCATATATTCGCTCTGCGGCAGGGGCTAGAGCAGCGCCACGCAGCCCAACAATAGCTGTGTTCCTCGACTACAAGTGTGCGTTCGATTCAGTCGATCGATGCATTCGGTTCGAGATACTTGTGCGGAATGGTGTCCCCATGATATATGTGAACATTTTGCGTGCTCTATACTCGAATACTACAGGCCGCATCAGAGTCTACGGTGATTTGTCGGATGCATTTCCGACAACAAGTGGTGTTCGTCAGGGTTGTCCGATTTCCTTGTTTTGTTCGATTTCCTCGTGGACTTCATCATGGGGAATCTCACGATGTAGGCGTTGAGATCCGGCCTGATGAAAGGTTAGTTGACCTTGATTATGCGGACGATATCGTTTTACTTTTTCTCGATGTTTCGGCGACACAATTAACCCTGAATGGGCTCTTTAGAGTTTTCCCATTATTTGGTATGCGCCTTGCACATTCAGAATGCAAAGTGTTGTTGCAGGACCGCCAGCCATTTGATGGCACATTGATCCTTGATATCGAGGAATTCGCGGTGGTTGATCGATTCACCTGTCTTGGCAGCTGCATTAGCAACGATTGGCGCACAGAAACTAATGTCAGTTCACACATTGCAAAAGCCAAAAATGCCTTCTTGAACTTGCAACTTCTTCGGCGACAGAAGGGAGTTTCCCTCCGTCTGAAAAGCAGTGAAAACAGGGCTAGGGCCGCAGTAAGGGCCGTCCTTCTTTATTGGAGTGAGACTTGGCCCCTTCTGTCTGATGATCTGAGGCGCCTTCAAGTCTTCGATCATCGTTACCTGCGGAGCATTGTGGGTGTCGGGTGGCACCAGCGTGTCCGCAACGATGATGTGCGTAAGCTTGTACTAGGTAGTGATGAGCTGCCTCGTTCCTTAGAACAACAGATAGTGCTGAATAAATTATGTTCTCTTGGGTATGTAGTATGTATACCCGGTCACCGCTTACCTTGGAGGGCCTTGCTTAGTCTGCCAACCGTGGGGTGGCGCAATGCTCGTGGTGGACAAAAGTTGACTTGACAGCGTAAAATGAAGTCATTGACGACCAAACTGGGCGCCGTTGGTTCGTCTCATCTTCCGGGCTGGAGTCCACGTGACCCGCCTTGTGCTTGGCTGAAGACGTTACAAGAGAGAGCTTTAGTCGGCCATATTGGCGTGTCTACTGTCGTCCCCTAGTCGGACTTCCTGTTTAAACTGTGTTTGGTGCTGAGTCATCTGCGAGGTAATGACTGATTATGACGTGGCTCAGTGAAAGCCGCAAAGAAGCTGTTTCGCTGATGCCGCCTTATCTTTGCACGATAGCCAGCTGTTTGTGACGGTATGTTGTTAACACAAGATGTAGGTACCTTGACCCTGAATGTTTGCTTAGAGCACTAAGGTTTTACGATAGGTCACTCTTCTCTCCCTCTTATTGTTCTTCATTCCGTAGGTCACAGTGGTTGTACGACAACGAGGCACCAGTTCAAATGGCTAATGTGCTGCTGTTGATGATGATGATGATGTTGAGATGCAAGAAAATAAAAGCGCTTCCCCACCTACATTTTAGCTGGACCATTCCCGACATGGTCTCTATCATCATTATATCATTATGCACGTTTGCTAGAGGTGGGAAACACCTCAGCTACAACATGCCAGCTGAGCTACCAGCAGCGGATAGGCATCGTTCCGGTTAGCTACCAGCCGGCTACTAGGCAAGAAGAAAAATTATTAGATAAAATCATATTACTCTACGAAATGTGATCGTGGTTGGAAGCGGAGGCTAAAAGGGATGGGAAGGGACAAAGAACCACACAGCAGGAACGCCACTGAGGTCGGCTACTTGCCATGTCAGCAAGTGTATCTAACACTAGCACTTATGCAGACCATCCCGAGGCGCCAAACAAAATCGACGACCAAACCAGCGGATTACGTTTGACCCTGCAGCGCACTGAGGAAGTCGCCTCGTGTGATGATGAAACGTCTGCATACCAATTACGAAACAAAAAGGTGGCACGCACCAACCTGAACAAGTCTTTCGCCCACTATCTTCACGCTTTTATGCCACATCATCGATTACCCACCTAACAGTTTTAACCAAATAGATGCATCTTCAGCGTAGAATGTACCCCGAGGTAGGCGGTCACCAATATAACGAAAGACATGGTCTAATAATCGTAAGCGATTGCACATAAGCAGAACTTAAATTGAGACACCATAGCATTCCTTGACAAACACCAACTGGCGTACTCAGCATTGCTCACCCGCTGTTCCCACCAAATATGGACAGTATTCCGCAGGCACCAGTGATCAAGCATAGTCAATCGTTCAACCTCTATAATTTGAAGTGGCTGGTTCTCTGATCCACACAGAAACATCGGTTTTATCTCAGCGTTATACACCCTACCTTTTTCGGATAGATTAGTATCTAGCCCCCTTACCATATATAGCTAAGCATCTAGAAAGCCACACGGGATTTTCTCATGCGCGAAGTAACCTTCTCAGTGATTGTGACCATTGGAGGTGACGCAGCTACTTCGACCGGTGATCCGATCGACCACTTCCAATGCCTGGCAGAGCCCTGGTCGTGTTTGCTAATCCTGCAATAATGCCTTGCACTATGTCGGTGCAATGCACATGCAGCGCTACGCGTCAGCCTATTCAGCAGTGTTTGCGTAGCCGCTGGGTCTGACCCAATCGGATTTATGTCGTCCGCAAACGCAAGGTTTACCAGTCGGCCACCGGTCAGAAACGTGCTAAGAGGACGGGATCATACTCATTTCGATGGCAAAGTTGAAGTGGAAAGAAGAAATAGGACAATTTTAGCGAACCCCGTTTGCCGTGGGTAGCACAGGAGACAGCTTCTTCTGGACTCTTACCCGGCCTTCGTAGTCACGGGATAGCGATGTCAGAATAGGAAGGAGTTTTTCTGCATGCCTTTCACGGATAGGCAATATCACGAACTAGCGTGATCAGCTAAGTGGAAAGCAGCTTTCGGGCCAAGAGATCCATCGCGTTCGGTCTTTTGTGTGTCTCTGTTCCAATGCTTGACGA